TCTATCTATCTATCTATCTATCGATCTATTTTACATGGCACCGCTTTTCAGCGTGTTCAAGTGTAAAACCACCTCTCTTAGACAAGCTGCTGAAGCAAACAATCCACACACACAGCCTCAATAGTAAACACGGCTTCATAGGGCTTTGAGTTGTGAAGCGATGCTCACAACTCCATATTGCACAGTCTGGTTGGCCAAAGATAGCAAATTATTTTTGAAGCTACAGGTTGTATGCAAAAGGTTTTCGTCATTGCCCTTAAAGAGAAGTCTCAAAGTCTGCAAATACACATATAATGTATATATATTGCATGTTGTAAAGAGAGCCTTGAGAGCAGCTGGGGATAGCATTACTGAAGGATGGTCAGGAAAGTAGCTGAGGGGGAGGCATATTTGGTGAGTACTGAGAGAATTATTGCCTTCCCACTGGAAGTAATGTTTCTAGACTTGGAGCATTCGAGCCACATTTGAACGGTTATGGAGTTGGACTGCAGAGCAGTAGTAGTGTAAATCCAGAGTGAAGGGGCTTTAAATTTCGTCCTCATTTCAGAGCACAGACTGTACCTGTCATCAGACCTCTGCCTGAAGTATTCTGGTATATGGGGAGTTTAGCTTGCTCTGAGGTCTGTTTTAGCAGGAATAGTTTCACCTTAACAGCACTCACTAGGCATTACGGTGCAGCGTCAACTTCTCAATTAAAAATGACTGATTTGCTACGAAGGCGAGGATGTGTTGACAGAAAAGCGAAGGGCATAATGCAGAAAAATTGTAACAAAATAAAAAAAAATCATGATGCCACTTTGTGTCGCCCTTTTTGTTAAGGAAACCTGGTTGACCCTCTTAATTCAAGAGAAAACTCTGACTTTTAAGAAAATGGCCGCCAGATGACTGATTTTAATGTTGATCTTCTACGATAGCTGTTTGTAATTTCAGTACTGAAAATAACACTTGCCTAATTAGTTTTAAAAATATACTCTTCTAAAGTAGAGTTGATCAAGTATCTCCAGATTATTTTTCTTCTGCTGCTTGTTCACTTGCACCTGCCCAATGCGTCTCACTTATGGCTTCAGGCATGAAAAGACTAAACACATTTTTGAATTGGCTCTTAAGTCACCTAATTTATAGTAGTCTGTCCCAGAAACACTGGCTTGCTTCCCTACCATCTATCTGTAGAAAACCTTTCAGGTCTCGCATAAATTTGTTTCACTTGGCCTGTCAAATATTTTAAGGATGTACAATGAGATTTGTCAAGTCTGAAAGGATCTCTTTGGAAATGACCTGTTGTTTTTTTTTCCAATGTTGCATGTGCAACTAAAGAAATGGGAAAACCTTATCCTTGTGCAACAGGTTGCCAAGAGCAAAAGATTCCAAAGACCCAGTATAGGGTTCTAGGCATGGAAGTTATCGATTTTTGAATTAATCTAAAGTTGATTGATCTTATCGGTCAATGAGCAGCCATTTTCTTAAAAGTCAGAGTTTTCTCTTGAATCAAGAGGATCAACCGGCTTTCCTTAACATAAAGGGCAACACAAATTGGCATCATGATTTTTTTTTGATTATGTTATGCCCTTCGCTTTTCTGTCAACACATCCTCGCCTTCTTAGCAAATCAGTCATTTTTAATTGAGAAGTTGACGCTGCACCATAATGCAGAGTGACTGCTATTAAGGTGAAACTTCAGCAGCTTGTCAAGTGTTTATATTTCAAAACAGAACCACATAAAAATCATTTTATATCCCACTCCAGACTCTGTTAGAATCGTTTGTTTTTCCTGTTTTAGTATGGCCCCGCCACCTTTGTTTCTGTATATATTGGCCATCCTTAAGCCAAACTACAACACTAAAAGACGGTCTAAGCTAACGTTATTGGTCAATCAATTGAAACTCATTTTAATCTAAAGAACAATTAGATTAGATAGTTCTAAATGAAGCTAACAGAAAAGTAGACAGACAAAATTAGAAAGCTAATCAACGATCAATCATCAGTCTCAAAGCTGTCCTGTAAATTCATTAAAGCCCATCCAGGAACCACAGGTTGCTTAGTGAATGCCCTGTAACGTGCTCTGTTGAAGCTTCTGGGTGATTGGCAACATGTCAATTCAGTCAGGGGCTTCAGTTTTGTTCTGTCCTACTATTTTACTGACAGATTATTTATAGTATACTAAAAAATAAATCCTAAATATTAAAACTAGCAGACCAGAGAGCCCGCTGATTTTACTTTGTTCTTCAAAGTAAAAGTTTTTCATTTGCTTTTTCAGTAAAAAAAAAAAAAAAAAAAAAAGATGATTTGACTCAGTCTATAGACTCTTTTAAAGTCAATGCACCAACTGTAACCAACTCTGAATTCTTACCTCTCCTGTGTGGCTGAGGTTCAGTTTTGGCAGTTTGTTCTTCACGTTTCCAGACGTTCCTCCAAAAGATTGGCTGCTGCTAAACCCCTCTGTTGCCACCGGAGGGGGCTTAAGCTGCGGGGAGTCACTCGGCGCCTGGTCCTGGCCGTCCATTGGGCGAACGTACGCAGTGGGCTTCTGCTGAACAGCGATCGGCTTCCCCGACAGGCAGCCGGGTGGGAAAGTGGGCGTGGTCAGTCCAGACGTGGGGGTGGTCAGACCGGGCGTGGGAGTTGTCAGAACCGAGGTGGAAGCCAGCGGGGAGGAGGACAAAGAAAGGTGAGAACTTGTTTCGTTTTCGAACGGGGAGGTTTTGAAAGATCCACCATTTTCCACGCTGGAGGAAGACTTAAAGTGGCAACCGTCTACAGTGGAGGACCGAAAGTTGCCTCCATCTGTAAGAGAAAGAAGAAAAAGAAACCACCTGAGAACAATAAACCCTACCAACAGCTCATTGTCAGAGATCAGTAAGATCAGTACAGCCAATCAAATTGAAAAGAATTAAGATGTTTTGAGGTTTCAAAATCAACTTTATTATCTGGTTACGTAATAAATGCTAATTTTAATCATTTTTACCAAGAAGGTCTGAATCATTGGAACCCTTCAAAATTTTACTACAATCATTTAATCAGCCTTCGTGACTCAGGCAAGGATAAAAAACCAACAAATTATGAATTTTGATATAAAATGTTTTGTATTTTACACCTATAATCAGACACATCTGTAAAAGCTTTCCTTGATTTGAGAAAAGCAACCCTAAGAGTTAATTAATAAAACAACAAAACCTCTTGATTTGGGTTGAAATGATTTCATCGAGTTCAAAAGATAACGTTGGTTTCACAAGAAGAAGACTGGACAAGATTGTAGCAATATTTTTAGAGAAACTAAACACTACATTTTTTTAAACAAATACAAAAAGGTTTTATAAATGTAACGTTTGCTTTTAAGAATACGTAATCGCTGTAGAACATTTCTGTTCAGGTTTCAATACTTCGTATGTTGCGATTTCCATTTGTTGAATTCTATGTTAAAAATGGCCTTTCTGTGTTTTCCAGGTATTTCAGATTTTGAACTACATTTGATTAAGTGTATCATAAAATTCAAAACATGAAGCAGACCTTTAGTTTAGGGGAGTTTTCACACCTGATAGTCGGTCAGACTACAACATTGGTTACTTTTTCAGCTGATGCTAAAACCAAACCAGTTTTGAAAAACCTGTTCCCCTCCTGGCCTGTGGTGGCGCTGCACCAAGAAGAAGAAGACACCAAGCGCAACTTTCTCCTTCACAAATTTTAACAGTTGTAGGATTTCTCTTTAGTGATTGGTAAAAGACCATGAACAATTAGCTTTAGACTCACATGTTTGTTTAGGTTGTATTTACCCAGTATGCCCTCTGGTTTAGTCTGCCTCCTGCGTTTGGAGCGGTCTCTGGTTTGCTTTGTGCATTTTAACCGAACAGAGACTTATGTTTTTAGAGAGAGTCGACTTTTTTGGTCCGCTTGCACATTCACATCTCCCTAAACGAACCAAACTTTCTAGGTAAATGAACTATGAAGCGGACCAGACAGAGCTGGTGTGATCCACCCTTAGAATCCACAGGAAGCTCCGATCCAACTTTAATTTTGTTAATGGCCACAGGCTTTGAAACTGTTCCGGTCTGCTTGTCCGCAAGACCCAAGAGCCTCGTGTTCATGAACGTACCGAGGTATGTCGACACGCTAAAGGACTCACATGCCAATGGCAACAATATAGCAGACCTGAATTATTATGATGTTTAGTATGGAAAGATTTTTTGCAGTAAGGTACACATATACAGTATCTTTCAATGTTTATATCTTTACAACACTGATAAAAGCCAACAGTCCATTAATTTCTGCAGTATAAAACCATCTGATATTAAATGTACATATAAAACATAAAACAGAAAGACTCTTGAATGCAACAGAATCAGAGTAGCAATTCCTTTTGAGGCACGTTGCATCACATTTACCTGGTAGGGAATGGCTTTTGGACGAATGCCTTCTGGAAGAGGACGAGGAAGAGGATGAAGACGAGGAAGAAGGGCTTGATTCCTCTTTCAGACCCAGTTCATCTTTGAGAGAGCTGAACAGCTCCTCGTGCCTTTGCAGCTGCTGTTCCTCTAAAAGAGCCATTTTGCCCCGGCTGGCCGCGGCGGCCGCAGGGACCTGCCCCTGTCCGTTCTGCCCCGGCGCCCCTGACCCTACAACCAGGCCCGTCGCTTGGCCTCCCTTCGACCATTCCATGGAGCTCCTCGACTTCTTCGCGTTCTGGTGTGGGGCCGCCGCCGCGTTCGATAACGACGTGACGACGGCAGGCGGCTGCATGGAGGCCGACGACAGCGCGCCGCTTCCCGTCCTCTTTTCCCCGCTTCCCTCTGCTCCTCCTCCTCCACCGGCTGCTGCTCCTCTCAAGGCCTCGTTGAACAGCTGAGACTCTGTGGCTGATCTGTCGGTGGTGGAGGAGCCCGCCGCTTGCTGCTGGTTGTTGCTCCCGGCGCTGCCTTTGGGGATTCCCACCAAGTGGCTCTGGTTGGAGTGGCTGGTTAGCAGGTCTTTCATTTCTTCGTAGGAGCCCAGGGTGTTCTGGACTCGGTTGGCCAACGCATCGCCCTTATTAGTCTGACAGGGAAGGAAAAAAAAGGAAGAAGGAAAAAGGACAGAGGGAGGGAGAAGAAAAAGGACATTAATTAAGTCTTCCATTTCTCCTTTTTACCAGACTTGATGAACAGCCCTCTTTACTCATCTGGAAAGGAATAGTGAGAGATAGATAGGGTGATCACTGACCGGCCTTCCGGAGGAGATGATTAATTAAATAATGCCACCTTTAAGAGGCCCCATCCCGGGCTGAAGCTGTGAAATTAATGGGGTAGGAGTCATTATTACCCTGACCCCACATTCTCAGCCAGTCACTGTTTGGAGGACAGTCCTGCCTTTACTTATATGTCATCCTATAGCAGCCTACCTGCAATCAGAAATGCTGAGAGGTGCCCAAGAATAGCCTAACAGCTCATTTAGTGTCAGTGACAGATTCCCTAAAGAAAGAAAAAAAATCAGCACTAGTGGCAGCAGTTCTTCTTGGGCCAAAAAAAGAGGAAAATAAAGTCCCACAACTGGTAACTGTGTGCAAAAACTGTATTGTATGGTTTGCATTTTTTTTTTAAGTTGGAACGTCTAATTACTATGCCAAGACTTGGCGATTACCATACCACACGGCATAAATAAGATGTCACGCAGAAGACTGCTTCTGTTAACCACGAGCCACTTTTGAGGAAACCAAGATCCATTTCTAAAGTTTATTGGTAGAGAACTGTTGCAAGTAATCACCAAGTCTCCATGATAAGGAAAGAAAACAGCTTCTCCACCTCACCATCACAATGTGGAGTTTGGTTCACTTTACTGGGATCTGTGAGCTTCAGCCAAATGAAACTAGGATCAGTTATTGTAACGTTTACTGTTATTGAGGGAACATTTTTTTTTATCATTATAGGAATTATGACACAAAATAGCACCAATAAACTTTAATAGTTGATGTATACAACCATAAAAAATGATAGGTTGATATGTTTGACTTTTTTTTTTTCAGTGTTGGGCCCATGAAAGCATACTGATTTTATTTGGTATTTTTTAGCATGTCCTATATTTGGCATTTCAGGAATACCATATAAAGAAGATGGGTGCCCACATGTGGCAGGGTATGACAATGTTTTTACTAATATGACTATACTTTAAACGTGCAGTAGCATGTATTTTCCAGACACACATTACATACCACACAACCTTGTGATCACATTGTGCCATTTTATAGCACAACCAAGTAACTGTCACCTTTAGTTGTTATAAAAATGCTTTATTTATCAAATACAATACCTTGAAATTGGGCCTCTGTCTCTTTAAGAAGCTCGTGCTCTTTCTGAAACTCTGCCTTCAGGAAGTTATTACAACATGGCTCCTCTATTAACCCTTTAACAAAGTTTTAACCATAGCTCTGAAGTGCTATGCGTCTTGATCGTTTTCTTTCTTTCGTTGATTTGCTAATATCAAGTGTTTGCTGATTGCTGCTGGCTAGTCTGAGTGGGGAGTGATGGGCAGAACTGCTCTGTGAGGTGGAAACTTGGAAACTGAAATTCCAAGGAGGAGCTACATCCTCAGAGGCGGAGCTAGGTCCACACAGGCGTTTGGACAGCTGAATGGTTGCCATAGAGCTTAAAGGATTTCTCATACATGCCTGATTGATTTTACATAACACTGCTCCCTTAATGTATTTGAACAAGTTTTCTGGAAATTAAAAAGTAAGGTTGAAGCAACCTTACTTTTAACACATCTTTACCAGAGGAAGCAATAAATACGTGACAAGTTTTCAGCCTGAACAACGAGCCGTAAAGCCGACACCATTCATCAGCCGGATCTGAATTATGCAAGACCTACAGCAAACCGACGCACGGCTGACATTTCATCGTGAATTACAGACAAACGTGGAACAATGGGACCAGTGAGCAAGATCAATGCGAAATGCCGTCCAGTAATTTTATTGCACATCTGATTAGCAATCTGGTCAATAGAATTTCTCAGTCAGAAGGCCGAGGCTGCTGACGGCCCAATTACCACGGCGCTAACAGGGACGCGGCGTGTCGAGTCAGAGCAAAGCTGGTAAGAAGTAAAATCGTATTTATTTGGAGAATTAAAGAGAGGAGAAAGCCGTAAGAAGATTAATAAATTTAAAGATGAATTTAAATCATCTGTTTAGATCTCCGAGGCGAGAGAAGAAGGGACAATTAAAGACTGATATGTCGATGGTTGTTCTTCCTCGAGGTGAGCGTTTGAGCGTGCGGTTTTGTTGTTCCAATGCAAACGGCTTCAGTCAATAACCAAATAATAGAGTAATAACATGCAATGATCCATGGAGAGGGCTCATTGCTGAGGAGGGAATTCTAACTGTGTGTGTGTGTGTGTGTGTTACAGCAAACACTTCACAACATTACGAATGATCATAACACCATGGCACTATTGGCTGTAATAGAGGGCCATTTAAGCTGCGTTTCATGGTGATCACAAGTTTCTGTTTTCACCAAGCAATTGTTCTGACATGAGTTTTATGAGCCAGGTGGAGCTGAAATCACAAAGTGTTCTGGTTTTAACATGCCTCGGCGGAAAACGAGCGGATCTGCACGGAGCGACAGCGAGAGAGAGAGAGAAAACCATGGTAACGACGCTCGCACCGCGCCGTTAGCCCGCGTGTTTGCCAGGCCTTTTTTTGTATTTGTTCTGTTTGTAAAAATGAGATGTTTTGCACATTAGCACATAACTGAGGATAATGAGGACGTCTGTAATAGTTTGATAATGGTAATGGTTTGGTGAACAGCCAAAGTAATGGACGTATTGGACTTTGTCGTGATGGTACCGTGAGATGGGGGGGAGGGAGTGTAATCATGCGCATTTGGATTTATTTTGTTTACACCATGGTGACCAATCTTCACCAATACTGGCAGATTAGTTTGTAAAAGCAATTTAGTCTTGAACTGACCATGCCACTTTCTTAAAAAAAACTGTAAATACACTCAGTGGAAAGAAAACAAATCAAGAACCCAGCAAGGTTATTAGATTAAACTACAACTAACAAAATAGCTAAATCTGAAACTGAGAAAACATCTTCGCTAACTGAGAAAAAATAAAATAAAGGCAATTAATGGGGGAAAACTACAACTAACAAATTTTCACTTTTCTTGGCTCTGACTGGTGACCTAAAGGGCCAAACTCAAAAACGACCTGAGGGAAGTTGACCTTCTTGCCCTCTTCACGTTGAATGGAAATGGTGTCAAATGTTTGTGCAGCAACAAAACTGTTTGTGCTGTTATAATCTTTCAAATTTTACAAAAGAAAAAAGTTTCCAGAGGTCACCAGAGATTAGCACCGAGCCCAAAATCTGGTTTGTGCAGCTAAACTTTTTAAAGCACAGTTGATTGATGCCAAATTTGCTTGATTTTGTAAGTGTGTGTGAGGGTGGAGAAGGGGGTTGTTTTGACCTTTGATGACCTCTGGAAATATTCAGTAATATCTTTAAAGTGACAGAGGCACAAATGAAGATTTTTGCTGCATAAACCTGTGACACTTGATTTGAAGAAGAAACTTGAACTGGCACTGACCACAACACTCCTCAGTTTGGAAGTTGTTACTGTGAGACGACAACCAGAAACTGTCAGTATTTGTGAGATTTTTGAAAGCGACGTCGCAGAAGCTAAACAATACTGTAAGTTGTTTAAAAGGAAATTGTATTTTCTGAATGTTGTACAGAGAGTAGCGTGCTCACACACAGTCGACCCATTTTATCTGTTTGCTTTTCAACCTCAGCCAGCCATTAAAGGCGCTGGATTTGGAAGTGTAGGAAGTCTTTTGGGAATCTCAGAGTTATTTTCTGTCTTCTCTAGGTCAGCACTCATAAACAACAGTTCAGTTTTGCTAGTCCTACCAACAGTGCTAACACTAAAGCTAGTAAAACAGCGCTTCATTCATTGTGACATCACCTGTACTCCTAATAAAGTAATCAATAGTGGAAAAAATATTTACTATTTAATATTTTTATAGTGTAGCTTGGACAGATAAATTGCAAATGGCAAAAACTCAGATCAGCAGGTCAATAATTATTTTTATTTTTTACCTGAAACATAAAGGCCATAAATATCCTTCTAAAAATGGTACAACAAGATAGAAGGAGTGAAATATCACCAAACAGATTTCAAAATAACTAATCAAGAAGGCGGAACGCCGACAAACATCATTAATCTGTCCCATCAAGTCTTTCCTTTGCATCGTTTCGCCTCTAATAAAACAAGAAAACCTCCAAACGCGCAAATAAACGAAAGAAAGAAAACGATCAAGACGCATTTACGGACGATGCACATCAGAACCGACGGAAAAGCATTCAAATAACCCTAACAGAAGTCGCTGCTGTGCGCACACACTCGCACAAACACTACACACCGTGGAGAGCCCAAGTTAGCTGTGAATAAATTAGCCCATCTCGTCTCCATCTCAGGCTCATGAATAAAAGATCTGGTGGCTGAAGAGGAACAGAAAACACATTTACAGAGAGGTAAAATGGAAAACAGAGGAGAGGGAGAGGATGAATACCTATGTATGACTTCGGTGTGTGTGCGTGTGTGTTTAAGAGTGTGTGAATAGATCATCCCAAATAGCTGCTAACAGCATAACGCTCCTTAACAGGATTAGAAGAGGGATTAGCTAATAGCTGACAGAGAGAATGAACGTTGGAAGAGAGAGGAGAAGAAAAAGACAGAAGTGACGGACACATGATTAAAAAAACCAAAACAACAAAAAAATAAAATCAGAAAGCAGAGGTCATTCGGGCTCCACAAATCCAATATCCGACAGCTAAAACGAGCTGATATGAAAGAGGAGCTCGGACTTAAATGCAGAGCGGGGGGGAAGAAAATTGCTCTGGAACAGGCTTTGGCAAAAAACCAGCGAATTGATCAAACAAAGTGAGCATAAAAAAAAATAAAAATAAAAAATGAAATTTCTGTGTGGTGTGGTAAATAAATCAGTAGAAGAAAATAGCGAGCAGCGAGGTATAAACTGGAGAAATGTGCGGACATTTCTTCAAATGGTTGAAAAAGAGCAGGCGTATTAAACGAGTAAACAATGACAGCTAATGACTGTAATTAATGAGGAACCTTAAAAACCTCTATGCAGCAGCGTATTACCAGGGAACTGCCTCTTCACTGAATAATAAGGCTTCCCGCAAATTAGATCTAATACCAAAATTCAGGGCTTTGGTATTTAGGCTTAGTGTTACTAAGAGCTAAAAGTTACCATGTTATAAATCCAATCCCCCCCTGGTAATTACAGTATTTTTCCAATCTGAATTGTAAGTATCTTTTGACATCAGTAATGTTGTTAAAAAGGACTATGATGTATCTGTTATTCACATCCACATGGTGGGATTAGTTATTTCTTCATGCCAGAAAAAGACGGATTGGTCCACCATTAGCAGCAGATTTGGTTGAGATAAAAATAAATAAAATCTTTTAGTCAGAAAACCTATTAAAAAGTCCATAAATGAACTTGAAGAAGTAGGAAAATGGTGGCGGCTACCTCTTCCTCACTGTCACTGGATAAGAGTTAAAAATATTGATGTACAAAACCCGACCGTGTTTCCATCTGAAGTATCGGATCAGAAAACGTGGAAACATAAAAACAACTTCCACAAATTTTGTTAAAAAAAAGAAGTTTTTACAATAGCTTGAGGTGGTCAGAGTTAAATGGAGCTAAATGGTGCATTTATAAAACTAACTAAAGCTGAAATTATAGATGTAATATCCTTTATTTTCATGTTCATAAATTTATTTATTAGCCTTTTGAACTGATGTGAAATTGATTCTCCCCCTCACACAAGCAGTTTACGTCATTCATTTGGAGTCTGCACCCAAAAATTAACCAAGAAAAACCTAAAACTACAACAATAACTAATAAAAAAGTAAACTGACACTAAATATTTAACTTTTAAAAACTGTAAAACACATACTAGGAGCTACTTAAAACTAACTGAATTAGACAAACAGTCACAACAAAACTAAACTACAATGAAAAACCTAAAACTATCATAACCCCGTTTCCAACATAGCGAACAGGACGCAGCATCGCCAACGCTGGCTGCCATGACAGAACAATTACATCTTGACCCAGAAATTTCCCTCCATTTCTCTGAATCGTGCGATCCATGCCAGTTTTCTACTTCTACTTCTTGTTTAGTACAGCCGTGCGTGACGTCAACATCTGAAATCACACAATTACGCCTGAATGATTCGCTCCAAACCAGTAGATGGGAACCCCACCATTTGTATTTATTTATTTATTTTTTTTGGCAACATTTTTAAAGTTAGCTCAAAATTAGCATAACAACTGAATGGAAACGTAGCCTACCTGTGCACAAATGACTGGAATTCATTTTATTTGCAGACGTTAGCATGCAGCAGTGGTACCTCACACCGACCAGGCCACACACACACACAACCCTCCTCTCTCTCCTCGTACACACTGATCTTGACCTTACGTCTTCACTGTTAATTGGCTTAGAAACGATTACTAGGAGTGTGGAGGCCCCTAGAATTGGATTCATTATCAGAAGAGCAACCTCTCATTTGCTTCTACTGACCCCCGAACCCCGAGGAGCATCTTGGTAAGAAACCCTCTTATCCTCTGTGTTTGGACACAGCAGGTTAGCGCAAATGCTGTCAAGACTCAAAGCTGCTCTGGTCTAACCAAGTGTTGAAGTGCCTGGTGGAAGCTAATGAGAGTTAACAAGCCAAAATCAATTTTACACAGAGGGACCCCACAGTGCCCGAGGACTTCATGCATGTCTGGTTTACATTTTGTTAAAGAAAGGGAAGAGGGAAAAAAAGGTATGTGAAAATAATAAGTATACAACTGTGTGTACAATTGTTTCAGATTTTAGCCTCAGGGAAAAGGAGGATGAGAAAACAGTCACGTTATCTACTTTCCCATCCACCAAATTACTTTAAACAATACAGAAGACTCGCATTATTGTTTGTCACCCATAATAAGTTCTTTCGAATGATAATTTACATCATGCAGAGCAGCTTTATATTAGCCTAAATCACAGAGTCGCGTTCTTGGAGGAGACTAGCCTATCCTAATTGATTAAGGTGTTGTAAACTTGGTCTCTTTCCCCTAAATTCAATTCTAGAGTCAGGTATGTTCAGCTCTTCTCCAGCAGAGATAAATCAGCAGCATAAACCTGTCTCTCTGACAGCAATAAGAGAGCACCACATGTGGGAAAAGCAGCTCTCTCTGTCATACAGCTAAGAAAGGCTGGAGACATGGATGAGGAAGACTTATGGCGGTTAGCTTGTAGCCCCGTCTTAGCTTCAGGCTCCCTTTCATTCTTTAAATTTAAACAGATACACACTAATTCTTCAAATGTACAGAATTTGAAGAATTCAAATTCTTCAAATTCTTCAAATTTGTGTTCAGAACACGTTTTACTTTTGAAATTTCATTTAGGCGACTGTTATTTAAAAAAATTTACCATTATAATGTAATGTGTAGCTAGCCATGTGGCTTAGACTAGCAAGTCCGTGTACAGATACCGTTAGCTCGACTCAGTGGAAGCAAAACAACCCAAATTTTTCCCAAACCTGAATGATGAGTTTCATTTGGAGTCAGAGATCCAGGTTGAACGCCACACCCAAGATGTTGTGATGCTAGCTGTTGCTAGCTACAAGCTACAAGCCAAGCTACATAAAAACATAAACACATTTTTTGTGTTTACTTTGTGTTTAAACTCTAAGGCAACATGCTAACTAATACAGTTGTGTGTGTCTGTGATTTAATGATAAGTCAGAACTGATTAAGGTTTCTTCCTGCTTTCTTTTACTTTATATGTGAAGCAAGTGTGCCGACCATTGAACTAATACTTTGTTCAGGCTAATTTTGGTTCGGTCTCCTTCAGTCAACACCCCTATCAATCGCAGTGAGTTTGGTTCCCTTAACATAAGTTCAGATGACCTACAGCTCTGGAAAAAATGAAGAGCCTTTGCACTGAACCCTATTGAAAACCTCCTGGTTATTCAACCAAATATTGATTTCTGAACTCTGAGTTAAAACATTAGTATAGTTGTTTCTAAATTAATATGAACTTGTTTGCATTTTTTCAGGTTTTATAGCCCGGCATCTTTTTTGTTATTTTGACCATTTCTCATTTTCTGCTAATAAATACACATTTTTTGCTTTGAATTTTGGAGACATGCTGTCAGTACTTCATAGAATAAAAGAACAATGTTCATTTTACTCAAACATATAACTATAAAAAGTAAAATCAGAGAAACTGGTCATTTGAAGTGGTCTTCTAATTTTTTCCAGAGCTGTATAGTAAGATTTTCATTTGGAAAAGAAGAAAAATATGCAATTATTAAAAAGAACATATCAGTTAGAAACACAAAACAAACAAAACATTTTCTATTTCAAAAGTTTAACATTTTTGACTTTTGAAACTCTGAAATCTCCCATTTTTTTCCAAAAAACTTTGAGTTTGTGTGTAAATTTACTAATTTTTTCCTTTCTTTTTATAACAACCCTAATGCATCATTATATTTAACCCTCTAGCACCAAATGCATAATTTTTTTATGCTATCGTTTCTCTAACGAAATATTTCGTCAAAAATATGCTGAATTGCTGTTGTAAGAATATGCGTATAAATCAGTAATATACTCTTTAGCATTTTAAGTATCACACAATGTTGTCACAAAATAGATGCTTTTGGTCATGATGATTAAATGAGTGCTTAAACTTGTGCCAGCTTATAGTTTTTTCGTTTATTTATTTATTTTTTGCTCTTACTTTATAAGGTTCTCCAAAGAGGTTAAATCCGGTTGAGAACAAGTCTTCATCTTGCTGAACCTCCTGGTTCCTCCTCTCCCACTCTCTCCTCTTCAGTGCGCTGCGCTCCGACTCAAGATGGCTGCAAAGATATAAAAACAGAAGCTTGTTAGCATGAGCCTTTCTGTCACAGCATTTATGGGTAAACGTAGAAACAACGGGGTTGCTGATGTTTGAGGCGCCGGTTGACAAAATCTTCAAATTCCACTCAAACACGGCAACGAGAGACGATAACGAGACTAAAGGTCAGGCCCGGCAGGAGGTCCAAAGTATCCTGAAAGTAAAAACTTGAATAATAATCTTCGATAAACAGCTCATTGTGGTGAAAAAATGAGTGAAACGTGGCCGGTCCACCTGGCAGTGGCGCCTCCATCACTGCCGGTTAAAGCTAGTCACGAGTCCTGCAGAGCCATTTGACCTGTGATTAAATGCCAGCTGGGCTTTAATCAGACAGAAAAAAGTTTCATGTCAGTAGGTGTTGGAGGGGATTTTTTTAATTAATGTGAAAGGGGCTTTTTCTGAAAGGTTTTTTCGGGAGGAATTTAATCGAAAATGCTTTTAAGGGAGTCTAGACGTATTTTATTTCCATCTGCCAACCACCAGAAGACCGTTCACATCCCCGTAGCTACGGCCCATATCTCAGCTGGTATTTTTACCTCCAAGAATGGATTAAGCAAATGAGAACTTTTAGAGGAGTTGATAGTTGTCAAGGTTTCCCCCAGAAAACTTGCTAAGCCCGGTGGTTGGGACGCCATGGCAGTCATTCATCCAGCGGCCCGTCGTGTTTTTGAGTTAAAAAATGTTTAAAGTTGACAGAAAATTTTTAAATGTCACTTGATAATGTGTTATTAAAAGATTGGAAGATTAACACCTGAACACCAATTATAAAATCTTAAAAAAATAACAAGCAATGCTTTTTGTAGTAAAGCCTGGTGGCCCGCCAGGCTTATAATGCACAGGGGGAACCCTGGTAGTGAAAATGTGCCATAATACGTTCTACTTTTTAAAACGAAAAAAGGAGACGTTTACAACCACTAAAAAACTGTATGAAGTTAAATCAAAAATTTTTAAGGTCAGGTAGAATTACCAAAATTATTTCCATTTGCTAAATACCACAATGATGAGAGAAAAATATGTTTGAGATTTATTTATTAATGCCTTCAAAATCGGAATAAATTTCCTCAGTGTTTGAACTGAAAGACTCAGGTCAAACGTTTTGGGTTTCCTTCCAGAAGCTTCTCACAGTGGTTTGCTGGAGTTCTGGCCCATTCCTCCTGACAGAACCAGTGGAACTGAGTCAGGGTTCACTCACACACGCCGTCTCCATCAGACTGATAACAAGGCTTTGTGATGCCAAAACATTGGCTTGGTTGTCCTTAAGCCACTTTGTAACAACTTTCACTGCAAAAACACGAAACCTGGTAAAACTTTGTGTGTTTTTGGTCTAGTTTCTTGTGCAAACATCGTAGTACATTTGAAATAAGACAAAAATAAACCTGCAAGTAACTTTTCACCAAGATGTAGGAGACTGGTTTAAGTAAATAATTGCTTAATACTGACTTTACGAAGTTCTAGTTGTACTTCACAGTTGGGATGGTGGTCCCAGGCTTA